CTTGTAATGCAGCCGAATCCCTACACCACTAACCAGCAGTGGTCTAATGGGCTTGCTGCAGTTGTTCTGGCTGCAGAAACTCCCAAACTGTGCTCTTAGCCTGAAATCTGGCTTGCTGACATCTTGGCCAGAGAAACACATTTTAAAACAAACAAAATCAAAAAGGGATTCTTAAACCCAAAATTGCCTGAAGTTTTAAAACTGGTTTTCTAGTGTTTTTATGTGATAACAGCTAATACCCGTGGAGCACTGCCCTTTTCTATAATTACTGTTGTTATTTATCATTATTATTATTAGTAGTAGTAGTTGTTGTTGTTGTGTTTTATTTTGTTTTGTTTTGCTTTTGAGACAGGGTTTCTCTGTGTAGCCCTAACTGTCCTAGAAATCTCTCTGTAGACCAGGCTGGCTTCAAACTCAGAGATCCACCTGCCTCTGCCTCCTGAGTTCTTGGATTAAAGGAGTGTGCCATCACTGCCTGTTTTACAAATGTACTATTTTCAAGATTTGGTACTAGCTTCTTTTTAAAGGTTTTTATCATCGTCATCATCATCATTATTATTGTTGTTTCCTTTTCTATTATTATTTATATACTTATCATTTGAGACCGGAACTCATACAACTCAGGCTGGTTTCAAACTCACTGTGTAGCCAAGGATGGCTTGATTCTTTTTTGTTTGATTATTGAGACAATATCTCACAGGAAAGCCCAGGCTGGTCTTGAATTCATGCCTACTCTGCTATCTCAACCTCTACAGTACTGAGATTTGAGGCATTTTCCATAGACACATGTGAACTCAGTGATGGTCTGTTTTTCAATTCAGAAGGAGAGCTGTGTGAAACTGCAAAGTATGTGTTTGAAATTCATGCAAGTGCTGGCAGGAAATCTGTGTATGAGAAAAGCTCTTCTTACAACCTAATAAGGTTCACTCAGGAGCAAATGGTATGAATGGATGAGAGAGTGATCCAGTGTTCCTGGTGCGGTAGGAATGACAATATATAATGTTCTGGTATGAAGAAACATTATTCTAATGTTTCTTAATTTCATAATTCCAATTGGTTGTTTTAAAAATCAAAGTAACAGGCCAATTTTATCCACAGTATTGAATTAAAGAAAACAATATGAAAAATCTGCTTAAGGAACCTTCCATAAGCACATGGACATCCCCTTGCCCTGGGAAGAAAGAAAGCCCTTGCTAGAACTGTAGGTGTGTATCTTTAATCACACCTGTACGTATCACTCGAAAGGACAAAGGACCTTCCAGTCTGTCACCTCTCTCCTTAACTTGGAGCTTATATAGCAGCCTCCTTATCTGTGGTTTCACTTGGAACTGTTTCAACAGACTTACTAACTTGTGTTTGGGGTTGGTCTAAAACACTGATAACATTAACTTTTACTGTAGCATAAAGCTATAGCATTTTACTATGGCTATTATTAATGTGTTTTATTCTTGTCTAACATGTTAAATTTGTCATACATCTCTGTGTCTCATTCTGATGCCATGACAAACACTGACCTAAAGCAACTTAACAGAGGAAAGGATTTATCTGGCTTACACTTCTGAGTCACAGCCCATTATTAAGGGAAGTCAGAACTAGAATCTGAAGCTGAAACCAGAGAGGAACCATGCTCACTAGCCTACTCACAGTCTCATGTTTACCTAGATTCTTGTATAGCCTGGGACCACCTGTGGTGGGATAGAGTTACCTAATGGCCCTCCTATATCAGTTAACAATCAAGGAAGTCCCCACAAACACATCTCTGATCTGAGAACTATGTCAGAAATTCTTTCTCAGGTGATTCTAGGCTGTGTCAAGTTGACAGTTAAGGTCAACAGAACAGTATTTATAAGAAAATAGTATAATCAAGGATTGATGCTGTTCACAATTGTAGGCATCCATCAGGGTTCCTGGATTGCAGATAAAGATGAACTACTACATTTCTAATTTAAGGGATAAGAAAAATTATTGCTCAGAAAATGCACCATCTCTGCTAGAAGGAGGGAGACCCATAAATTGAGGAGTGCCAGGCAGAACATTCCGCTCAGACAGACTGTAAGACCGTAGTACCATCTCTGCTAGAAAGAGACTCCTACCAATTGTGTAAGATAGGTTGGATGGAGACCTGACATTCATGTATCCCGAGAGTCCATTTGTCAGCTCCTCTACTGAACTCCACCTTTAATTATAGAATCTTAGACTGAGTTACTGCTGTGCTCTGACCATTCCCATAAAATTGTTTGTGTGGGATCTCTGTCAGTGGCACGCACGCACGCATGCACGCGCACGCGCGCACACACACACACACACACACACACACACACACACACACACACACACGTAAATAAAAATAAGCAATGAAGATGTAGAGCACACACCTTCATTGCCAGCACTGGGGAAGCAGAGGCAGGCAGAAGTGTACATTAGAGGCCAACCTGGTCTACACAGTGGCTTCCAGGCCAGCCAGAGATATACAGTGAGACTGCCTCGGGGAAATATGAAGAAGAAACATGTCCTGACGTAGTAGACTCATTCTGTCTCCATAAGGTGTCCTGCACCATGCTGCAGTGCAGTAAGAAGTCCTCACTCGTCACGAGCCAACACCATGTCCTTGGGCTTTACAAAGTACCCATCCTCAGATGTTCTGTTGCATCGACACCCAGCATACTAATATAGGGATGTTCCTTGTGTAGTCCATTTAACTCTGATACCAAGTAAGTCTCTTTAACAGTGAAATGGACAAATGATTATGCCATTGAATGTCAAGAATATTTTCATGATATACAGCATACTGTATTAGATAGAATCCCATGGGAGGAACGTAGCTCTAATTACATTTTGACAGAAAAAACATTGCTAAGACCTGCTTGCCTTTAATTTACAACTGTAAGAAATCATCTGTGGGCTGTTTTGCCAAGCAGTCCTTTGCTTATTTTATGCATCTCCTTTAAGTCCTTTCTTTGCCATTTCCTTCCTCTGGATCATTGAGAGTTGCCTGGTTAAGAGTTCATGGAACTGAACTTCAGATTGCTTCTTTTTCCAAGTATTGCTCAGTAGATGCTTCCCATTCAACTCTAAACTCTTAAAATACACAATCCAGAGCTGAAATACGTTCTTAGAGATGGGTTGAACAGTTTTCTATTCAATGAATAGAGCCTATACCTCTATTGATATAGAAGAATTAATTCTTAAAGAAGCATATGATTGCAATAATATTTTAATAGCCAGTTCATACTGGTCTCACACTGCACTTATAGTCCACTCAAACCCTGTAGCCTTGAGCAAGTCGACTAACCCATTCTGTCCTCAGTCCTTCCAAGCATGACAGGAAGGGTCACACCTGCCTCCTGTTTATGGTAATTATGGATAATATGATGTTAAATTAAATTTATTGGCAGTGTTGTACTTGAAATTCAGGGTGACCTGGTTGTTGTGCAGATGTAGTTTTAAGAAAGACAAAAGAACCATTGACAAGAAAGCAATCTGTATCCAAAGCATATTAAGTGGCTTTCGGAAAAAAAATTGGGTTTCCTAGGATTTCACATTCTTTGACCCTTACTACTTCTGTTTTAGTAATAAAAGCTTTAGTGTGACTACTCTATAAATAGATTTTTGATTTATATGGCCAGATAATACACAATTTGATGAGAGTGAAGACGGTTTCCCTGAGAGGCTAAGTTCACTGGTTTATATATGGTCTTGCATGTGTCTGTTTTTCCTTGGCTTCCAAGATTCTTAAGCATATTACTTTCTCCAACAGAATGTTTTCTTGGCTAACTTCAGCAGAAGAGTGGCGGGGGCTGTTCTACACTCATTGATGTAGTAGTAATCAGAATTAAAAAAACAAAACCAGCCCTAAGGAGAATGTAGCTATAGCCATAGGAATTACAAAGTGAAGCCAAGCCAGGTTCCTATGGATGGCCTACATAGGACAATCTCATCTCACTGCAGCTCATAAAACTTATTGATCCTTTTCACTATACATGCCACAGGATGCAACAATGGTGAGCATATTTGATTGGTGTCTAGTTATTTTTGTGTTGCTGTGATAAAACACCATGACAAAGCCAACTTATAAAACAAAGTGTTTGATTTGGTTAGAGTCCATCCATGATGTGCAGTGAAGGAGCATCAGAGTGCTCACATCTTGATCCATAAGAGACAAAGGCGATGGGAATGGCACTAGTCTTTTGAAACCTCAAAGTATGCCTATGTGACATACCTCCATCACAAGGCCACACCTCCCCTTCCTTCCCAAATAGTTCCACAAAGCTGGGGACCAAATATACAGATATATGAGCCTTATGGGAGCCATTCTCATTCAAACCATCACAAGTGGTTATGAGGATCCTTGAGTATATCAGTAAGTGCTGATTTGAATGAGAATGGTACCCCATAGGATCATATGTTTGATTATTTGGCCCTGAGTTAGTAGTACTGTTTGGGAAGGATGAAGGGGCATGACCTTGTTGGAGAGATGTGTCCAGGAGGTGTGCTTTGAGTTTTCAAGAGCTCTTAGCTACTGCGCCAGCAGAATGTTTGCTTGTCTGCAGCCATGATTGAAACCATGATGTAAACAAGAGTTGCCTTGGTCATGGTGTCCTTCAGAGCCTTGGTCATGGTGTCTCTTCACAATAATAGAACAGTAACTCAGAGAGTAAGATTGGTAGATACACAGGTGAATCAATAGATGTATGATGGGAAGGTGAGCAAGTGGTACCTCTTCCCTGTTACCATGGATATTCAACCCTAGATACCTTTTCCAGTTGCTCTCCTGAAATCACTGGCATCTCAGGATTCACTGTTGTCACGGAGAACACTTGTGTGTTAGCATATGCTTTGAAAAATATAAGACATACAGGAAATATCCAGAGAATCAAACATCTTTTTTTTAGTTTATTTACAATTTTATTTAGTAATAAGAGTTCAAGAGTTTAATCCCATTTTCAGATCACATCTCTAAAAACAATCTTCACTCTGTTAGAGGGATGAATTAAATATCTTCATTTTTTGAGTAGTTGGTGCCTAAATATAAAGAAGGGAGCAGCAAATCCAGATCCAAAGTACACAGTCATCATAGCCAGTAACTGCCACTTGTTTTCCACTGAAAATGGCAAATTCTTCCCCAGGCCGTCCTCATAGTGGCTGCGACGGACCACGGAGGTGGTGAACCTCTGGACACTTTGGCCCAACATGGCGCCTCAGGAGGCTCTGTGAGGCCCACAGAGCTGGAAGGTGGAAGAAAACTCAGAATCAAACATCTTTAACATGCAGTGATCATCTTGTTAATTATGCATTAATATAAAGAAAGTCTTTGGTGTATCTCTCATGTGTTCATAAATTAGAAATGAGATATGACCTTATGAGAATAATGATTTTTCCAAACTTGACAATTGTCTTAGCATCTCATTGCTCTTTTTACCTCTGTTAGTATAAGGGTGTGTGTATTGCAAATAAGGTTAGTGTGTTAGTTAAGCCCAAAAAAGATGTTTGTACATATTGGTTATTGTTTAATCTTACATGTAAATTCATAGATACCATTTTTTAATTCGATACTTTTATTTGTTTTAAAATTTTCAAGTTACATTTATTTATATATTTATTTATTATATATGTGGTTGCAGAGGTCAAAGGGCAACTTTCAGGAGTCCATTCCCTTCTTCTACCATGTGGATCCTATGGATTGGATTCAGCTTATCAGGCTTGGCAGCAAAAGTTTTATTCAATGAATCATCTTTGCCAGCCCTTTATTTCAATTTTGACAGAACTTTGTATGTAGAGACCATACATGAGGGGTCCTTCCTCAGTCACTTCTCCACCTATTTTTTTTGTCCATCTATTTATTTGTTCAAATGAGCAAAAATCTATTTATAAATAAGCAAACCTCTAATCACATTAACTAAAAGTGGCAAATCTATCAAGTGTTTGAAATCTAAATAAAAGAAAATCAAGGCACCTTTGATCTGTGAATTGAAAACAAACATTTAGGTGTAAAACAGATTCATTTCCCTTTTGTCTCCATAACACATGAGCACCAAAGTTATCTAAGAACACTTACTATTTAGTAAGACAAGAATGTATATAAATTACAAATGGAGCAAGTACTTTCAGAAGGACTTCTTTGGAGACAAGTTTACTGCAAATATGACATTCTAACCACACTCCACCTTGTTTTTTGAGACAGGCCCTCTTATTAGACCTGCTGCTCACCTATTCACCTATACTGGCTAGCTGGGGATTTTCTGTCCTTCCTTCCCAGCACTGGAATGTAAGAGTACTGTGCCTGGCTTTTCAAAAGGATGCTAGAGATAAAACTCATTTTCTCCTGCTTTCATGGGAGATACTTTACTGAGTCACCATTTGCCAAGTCCCTACTTGTAGAATTTCAATTGTGGCTTATTCTACTGCTTAATAATTCAGTTGTGTAAAATGCATTTCATTTTTTAAATGAGTTTGTAAGGATTTACAATTCAGCTTTGATGAACTCTTGGTGGAACACAGCTTTCTTCTCCTGAAATATTTCTGTTAGACAATAGGCATATTTACAGTTTGCCATTGAGATGAGGTTAACCTCAGTTCATCTTGGAACATTTTAGCTGTCAATTGGGAAATCCACTGCCAGCCCATCACAATAAGTATAGGTAAAAATACACTTTTCAATTAATGTCCTGTTATTTAGTCTAGACTGCTAAGCACCAACTATGTCTGCTGTGCAGATAACCTGATTAGATAAAGGGAGTCTTGTGTCTTCATTATGCTATTACTATAGTGTGTAGTGTTTGGACCAAATAGAATTTTCCTAATGTCCCAAGCAAGGCAAAGGAAACAACCTTTTTAGAAATAGCAGCAATTTCATTACACTCACATGAGAGCTTCTTACGTGCCCTCATTAGGAGAAAAATCCATAGCTGTAGTCAGCCTTAAATTACTAAGCATTAAATTAATTACATATACTGTATATTCATTTGGCTGCTAAAATATTACTGATTTGTAGTTCTTGGTTAAGTAATATAAATGGATTGTTAAATAAGTTATTTCTGAGGCATATAATAGTTTTAGGATTAGGGTGGATAATTTAATTGCTTCATGAAAGGTCCATAGTGTTTGGAAAATTTGGAAAGCCTCATACTGAAATGTTTATATTATTGCCAAGAAGCAGTGGGAAGAAATTACGGTTTTTGAATACGTTTTTTATGTAGAGCGATGTGACCTTGAGTCACAGATAAGAGAAACAAACAGCTCATTTAGAGTAGCTAAATACAAAGGATTTTAAGTTCCATTCACTGTGTCACATGTCAAGTGTGTCTTCTTCCATTCTTGTCTGGATGCTCACAGTGGTAGCCAGCTATCCTGGGCCATGCATTTATACTGTTTGAGACACCTCCTAGAGTGTGTGTTACTTTACTTGATATGTAAAATCTAACAGTGAGGTAAAGGTGGAAGGTGCCCACACACAGTTTCCAGTTGTTGGTATTCTTGAATTCCATGGTTTGATTTTAGCATCCAGAGTTTAACTCTGTCTGTCTAAAAAAATGGAAGGAAATCTTTCCACCATTTCATTCATGCATTTACTAACTTTCCTTGTTTGATCACCATCCTTCATAGAGATCTATGTAAACTTTTCTTCAATTTGTATAAAATATAAAAGAAAAATCCTTCTTGAAGTTTAAAGTGTTCCCTTTAATGTTCAGTAATTGTTTTGTTTTGTTTTTGTTTTTTGACACAAGATTTCCCTGTGTAACAGTCCTGGCTGTCCTGGAACTCCTTCTATAGACCAGGCTGGCCTTGGAACTCACAGAAATCTGCCTGCCTCTGCCTCCTGAGTCCTGGGATTAAAGGCATGCGCCACCACCTGGCTATGTTTAGTAATTTTTACAGTCAATACTAGAGAAGTGTATGCTTGAAAAGCATTTTAACTTTTATCCAAGATTATTTTCAGTACTTATGTCCATTTCTCTTACTTTCATAGCTTAGTAGGTGCTGATATTTAAGGTACTAGAGCTTCACCCACCTAAAAATAGACCAGTTCCAGCAAACAGAAATAGTTCTTTAAAAAGCATTCATATTCCCCATGATTTTATTTCTAGGCTCTAATTATAAAAGATGTGAAACAAGAGAACATATTTTTCCTTATATACAAGGAATCCTTTGTGTAAGTCAAAACTTAAAAATGAAATCAGGAGCCAGTGATTCGGCTTAGTGGGTAAGGGTACTTGCCACCAAGCCTAAGGACCTAAGATCGATCTTTGGAACCCATGTGGTAAGAGTAAACTAACTCAGGCAAGTTCTCTTTTCACCTTTGGGTGCACATATTTAATATTTATTAAAAATAAATAAAATGTTTTCACCTTTAAGTGTTTGTACTTATTTACATTTGCAAAAATGATTTACATTTCAAAGTTCACATAAAATCATTTTGGATGTATAATCTAGCATATTTAATAAGACAGCCAATTAATTTAATTTTAGAAATCAAATTTGTCATGGCAAATGCCATTTCATTGTTTGAATTGTTTTAAAAATTGTAATAAGTACAATTGATTCTGAAATAATTAGGTTTTTGTTTTGGGGATTTGTTTTTGTTTGGTTTTGGTTTTTTTAAGACAAAAAAGTTCACTGTGGAAAAAAATAAAAAGATGGGGTGGTGGTGTATGCCTTAAACTCAGCACTCAGGAGGCAGAGGCAGGTGGATGTCTGAGTTGGAGGCCAGCCTCGTCTATAGAGTGAGTTCTGGAACAGCCAAGGCTACACGAAGAAAACCTGTCTTGGAAAAACAAACAACACACAAACAAAAACATCTCCCTGTGTAGCTCTTGACTGTCCTGGAACTCACTCTGTACAACAAGCTGGCCTTGAACTCAGAGATCCACCTGCCTCTGCCTCCTGAGTGCTAGAATTAAAGGTGTGTGCTACCACACCTGGTTTATAATTGGTTTTTTATTGGCCTGCAAACGGAGACCTGGGTGTCATCTCTTGCACCCACCTGCTTCTTTAACAGCTGTAAGAGGTGTTTGTCATCAAGCATTTATGAAGCCTGGATTTAAAGGGGAAAATGTACCCAACTAGAGTATACTCTCAAAAACTGTAGCACATCTGGGTTTCAGTGCAGAAAATGAAGTTTTGCCTTTGGTGAGTGTTGGAATAATGGAAATTGGACTGATATGTCATCTGAGTGTTTTGTTTTGTTCTTTTAATTTCAAATCAAAAGTGTTCTGACATATTCTGGTGCCGAAAATAAGACTCTACAGTAATTGGTTTGCTGAATTATATTTGATAGATTTTTAAATGTTGCAAATAGTTGTAATTTGCATAGGGCATGATTTGTTTTAAGTGATTTATTGTTTACTTGGCTTTGATCTTATATTTCTCTTTTTGGGTAGCCAGAGACACTTCTGTTACTTGTTTTCAGGTAGTTTTGTTTTTATTTTTCCTTTCCTTTCTTTTCCTTTCCTTTCCTTTCCTTTCCTTTCCTTTCCTTTCTCTCCCTCCCTCCCTCCCTCCCTCCCTTCCTTCCTTCCTTCCTTTTTAAAGACAGGTTCTCACTATGTAGTCCTAGTGTCCTGGAACTCACTATGTAGTCCATGTTAGGCTCAAACTCACAGAGATTCTTGAGTGCTGGGATTAAAGATGTGTACTGCTGTGCCCAGCCCTCAAGTAGTTTTTGTTGGCTTGGCATCTAGTGGACTCATGTTTCCTTCCTTATATATTGAAATTATTTTGAAAGAGAAAATGTGCAGAGTATGATGCAAGCGAAATGAGAAAGGTATTCGGGATAGACTGTCTTGGGTGTTGGATGGTAGAATTTACTCTCTGTCTTCTAGTTCTAAAAGCTCTGGCAGTTTGGTGAGGGCACTGGTTCCTGGACATTAGCTTTCAAGAGGAGAGAAAATTCCATTTGACTCATCTTGGTTATATTCTTCAAAAGAGTCATGTTTTTCTGTTCTGTTACAGTTACTGTGACCAAATAGATCACAAATATATTTTGTTTATTTTGTTATTGCCTAAGGAAAACTACTACAAGGACGTGTATTTCACTTTTTAAAATCTAGGATTTTTGTAATTAACTTTAGAATAAAATGGATCATCTTCAGCTCACATATCATCTGCTAGTCCTGTAGGAAAATTTGATTACTGTGTCTGTACCATTCTCCTCCAGACAGTCCCTTATTTGATATTGTGACTAATCATTGAAGATTGAAGTCTTAATG